GGTTTAAACATCATATTGATACACAGCTTTGATTGCCAATGGGGTTCTATCTTGCTAATCATTGTGAATATTGTTTTCTAAAATTGCAGTTTGGAACCTGAAAAATTCATAGTAGTATGGACTTCCAAACAAGTCTTTTAACAATATAATCGAATCTATATTAAGAACATGCAGGCTTTAGATTCTTTTGTCTTTCTTTCTCTTTAACATTGAAATTAACAACCAGAACTAGGCACAAAGGTTTAGCTTTAGTATCAAAACTTACAAAAATTCACAAATATATATTCATATTCAGAATTTCTCCTATTTTCTACCAGGTTGTCTTTATTTAGCCAAAAAGTTCAGAATAAAATAAACAGATTTTTGTTGTCACTACAGTTAAAGACTATCTCTTATAAGCTACACTGCAAATCACCCAGATGTGCTACCCTATCAATGTTCTTATTCTGATCTAAAATTACTCAATGTTTAGAATTAGTTTTGATAGTTTATTCAAGATAAAAACTACAAGGGGTTACTGTGGCTGATAATAAGATTGAAGAGCGTGGACAATAACTCTGTGATCAATATAGTAGAAAATCATAATGTATTTCATATCATATGGTATGGTACTCAAATAGCATTTATTTTTGTTGCTATGAAATTAAAATGCAATTCTTTTAGCAGAATGAAATACTTTTTAAAAATATGTATATATGTGGGAATTATAGTTTTCTACATATAAAAAACACAAAAAGAAAAATTTCTCAACTTCCGGTTTGTCGGCCTCGTGAGCGGCAGGGATTCGCGATACTGCGCGATCCCTGCTGCGCTAGCCGTTTTTGGTGCTCCGATCCGGACGGGTTTGGAGCTAAGACTGCCCTGCAGGGGCGGCTGAAGATAGGGGGGATCCGGAGAGGGATTTGGGGGTGTTGCAGACCCCCTCCCCGGCCGGCAGAACCCCCTTTTCCCAAGACGGTGCAGCGACGGTCCGTAAACAAAGAAGCCGGCAGCTGGGTAAGAATGCGCAGGAGGAAGAGGAGAAAGCCTTTGAGAGTGAAAGTTTTCTTGGTTGACCCAGGACTCTAAGACATATTTAACACAATTCCTGGAAATTATGGCTTTTTGAATGATTCTTTCCAGAAGAGAAAATAAGCGGCAATTTTGAGGTGCTGAAAGGAAAGTTTACTCTCCTTCCCTACGGAATTAACAAGTGGATACTGAGAAACCTGTCTTTTTCAGGTAAAAACTGGCTTTATGTGATAAGTGGGAAGGGAGAGGACAAAAAATATATTTATATGTTAAGATTTTGTTGGAGGAGATGCCTTAAGGATTTGAAGACTGAAATATATTCCAATAAGGTTTTAAGAAACAGATTTGAACTTTTTTTTTTTTTATATTGATACTACCCCAGGAAGAGAAAGTGAGAACTTTGTCTTGGCTTGGATTGATTGAGGACTTTGGGATTGTTCTATTTTTTGGAAATATCTTGGTTGGTGCAAGAAGAAAGAGGGGAAAAAAAAGAAAAGAAAAGATTTATAATGGCTTTTTTTGCTGAGGAACTGAGAAAAGAATATGAGCAAACAAAAAAAGATGGCAAAGATGGTGTGAAAGAAGCCTTCCTTTTTTTAGAAATGGCGCTTGCTAACTATCAACAAACACTACAACAGATGGAGGAAGAAGAAGAAGAAGAAGAAGAAGAAGAAGAAGAAGAAGAAGAAGAAGCCATCTTTAATGAATTTCAAAATTTAACTAAGAAAGAAGGAAGAAAGAAAGGGAGGAAAATGAAGGACTTAAGATTTAAAAAAACACTCAAGAAAGAGAAAAATAAGGTACAAAATCAATATAATGATAGTAAACAAAAGAAAAAAGGAACACAACAGAGAAGGGAAGCCAGTAAGGCAGAGGCTAGGAGAAGGGGGGGTAGAAAGGTCTGGTGAGGGAAGAAAGAAAGGGAAAAGGTGGAGAAAAGCCACAAAGTTTTGAAATCAGATGGGAAAAGAGAAATCTTTTTTAGGGACAAAGGGTAAAGTACAATTTTTTTAAAAAAGATTTTGCAAGGTACATAAGATGGTATTGTAGCATTTGTATTAGAAATAGAAAATTAGAATGGTTTAAGAGTTAATAAGAGATTAAAATGTTGAAATGTTTAGTAATGATTGATTTTAAAATTTAATAAAATATTAAAGGGAATGTTTAGAATATGGAGTTTTAATTAAAGAGTTTAATATGACTATGGTATTGATGTTACTATAAAATTATTATTGTAGCATTTGTCTTTGGAAAAGGCAATGGGAATGTTATAAGATTCAATATTTAGATCTATTATTTAACTATGTATTTAATCATTTTGGATTTATTATTTTTCTTTTATTAAAAAAATAATAATTAGTAGATAGAATGTACCAAGCAGGATCAGATTGGGTATTAGGTGTTATTTTAAATGTTAATCTAATTAATTTAGGGGGAAGATAGAAAGGCATCATACTCTGATTAGTGATTTCAGGAGAAACTCTTTTTTTTAATAAGGAATGAGACAGAGGGATAATAAAGAATGGACAAAAGATACAAATATAATAACTCAAATTAAGATGGATTAAATAAGATAGAATTAAGAAGAGTGAAATGTGTGGAGAAGCTAATATAGAAGACATAGAATGGTAAATAAAATAGGTAATGACATGTAAGATGAGCATGAATATAATTGAAGTCCATGTAGAGAGAGGTACCTGGGGCCAAGTTACTTTCCTAAAAGATTTTTTATATGTTTGTGTGTTGTGTGTTTATGTTTCTGGGAGAATTAATAAAACCTTGCAGAAATATAGAATGAGAATAATGGTAACCAAGTCAGAAAGAAATAGATGAAATAATAATAGTGAAATTGAATAAGAGTAAAGAGAAGTAAAGAGAAATTGGATAAGAGGTATTTGTATGCTCATATGGAAATGGTTTAAAATAGAATTATATTGTATAAAATAAGGTTTTATTTGACTTGTAAAATTTATAATGGAAAAAGGTTTAAGTATGTAATGGTTAATGATGATTTGTTTGTCTTTAAAATTAATAAAATTTGTTTAAAAAAAAAAAATTTCTCCAGAACAGAGGCATATTTAAAAAATCTGCAAAACGTCTCAGAATTTAAGCAATAAATTAAAACATGGCAACATACAATTATGTAGATTGCCTGCAGTTTTTTTAATTATGTCAACTGAAAGCCATTTCAAAGGCTGAGTGGCTTATCTTCAGATTGCACAAAGCACCCTATTTGCACAACAACACAAAATGAATGTGTGCAAATGGCATCTTCACTGCCACTAGTTATTTTATTTTATGATTATCCTTGGATATATTGGACCCTGTTATCAATTATTTTTATACAATCTTTAAAATAGACACCTTCCATTTTCCTTCCAAAAGCTCATTGATGTTTTTAGATTGCTTTTTATGCAATATTTTGTAAATATGACCCCTTACTTATTACAGAAAATACGACTTCAGCAACAGAGTGGTCAATATTTGGAATACTCTACCTGACTCTGTGGTTTCTTCCCCAAACCCCAAAAACTTTAACCTTAGACTGTCTACTATTGACCTCACACCTTTCCTAAGAGGCCTGTAGGGGGCGTGCATAAGCGCACCAATCGTGCCTACCGTCCCTGTCCTATTGTTTCTTTTTATTTTTCCTATAAGTATCTGTCTCATGTATTCAAAACTATGTTTATTCTTATACCTGTATCTTGTAAGTGTTTGACAAATCAAATCAAATAAATAAATAAATAATATCATAAGTTCCCTTATTTGGCTGCATTTGGTCTTTAATGTCTTGTCAATGACTTCAAGCTATAAGTCCAGTGCTTTATGATACATGATGTCCCTTTCCCATATTTACATAACATAATAGTACTGGGCCTGACATATTTATATTCAGTAATACTGGACTTGAAGCTAAATAAATTCTTTCAGAGTTTTCACTGACATATATTCATCAGTAACCTTAAATAAAGCACACAAAGATTTTTTTCCCATGGTAGTGTTTTAACACATATAATTCCCCAATAGTAAATGGGATATGAAGTGGTAGAATTTATGTATTGCTCTTAGCTTTTTCATTTTCAACAAAATATTTGAGTAATATTTTTATGTGCCAAGATTTCTACAAACAAATCCAGATGACGATATGGAATGGCATGAGTAGCTATATTCTTTCTCTGTGTAATCTGAAGATAAACAAATGAACTACTGCTTCATTCTGCAGTCATCTGGTGATGAATGTTCCCACATTAAAAATCTCATTCATACTACATGCCCATAGTAAATAATAACTTGTAGTGCAATAGGCATGTCTTGCCTGGTCGCTATCATCTTTAAATATTTACCATTAAAACCTATCCAAACACTCTATTGCCTCAGAAAAGCTACATTATATGTAGCTAAAGAGTACATCTAAAAATAATATGCTTAAGACTTAACTGATTAAACTGTAAACTGACTAAGATGTTGTACATATTAAAAAAAATCCACTTATTCTTGTACTGAAATCAGTTATACAGGAATAGGTGTGAAGGATTTAACTTCCAGTTATCCTTGCTTCATTTGTGTTCCACTCATTTCATTTCTTTCTATAGCCTCAACCTATTTTTAGTTGTAACTAATAGCTTTTACAGTGTAGGATTTTACCAAGATGTAATAGAAAAAGGAAAAAAAATATCCCAACCTTTCTTTCAAGGTTGTAAATCTTGCATGTTTACAAATGCAGTGCTGCTTTATAATTGGCCCACTTCAAACAAGATAACATGGTATACTTTATATGTTCTTAGGAATAAAAAGCAACTGCTAGCTTGTGACATCTTTATACAATCTGAAGAGAAAGCAAAGTATATCTTGCCTTGTGACATCTTACACAATGTTTTAGACATTTATTATAGAGGAGCTCAATTCTCTAGAAGAGGCCATATAATTGTGAATTTTGTTTTGCCTGTTCTCCTAAACATCTATCAGAATTTAAACACTGGAAAACTGACCTTAGAATTTGCCCTAGAGACAAGAATCATCAGGATGACAGAAACCATATTTGTTTCAAATATAAGTTCAGATACAAGGATCACATATCTTCTTTTGTTAGCATCTGGTGATAAAAAATAGCATAAATTAGCAGATGTACATCTTGGAGATACTATCTGTGTGCTTGAAAAGGTATATACAAGCAGACCCATTTGTATATGAACTCAGTACAAACTGAAAGGTTTTGTCAGCTATGATGAATCTAAATTGTCTGTTATTTTACATCTGGCTTCTCTGCTATAGAAATTGATGGAATATAACAATATATTTGTAAATATATATTTCCAATTACACAGTGCAAGAACTGAAATTACACAGTCAAGAACCAAAGCAAAGTCTGGAATGTCTACACTTTTAACTTTAGCTCTTTCTCTGAAAGAGCAAAATGAAATGGCTTTCCAAAAAAAGCCATTTTTAACTGGGATTTAACTCCAAATTAATTTGTTGAAGGAAAAATTACATTCACATAGTATTATAATTACGACATTTACTAGGTCATATTCATTCAACAGAGAGTAATCTTATGCAGAACTAGAAAGAAATCACAAAATGAAAAGACCTGTAAATAGAGATAGAATAACTTGGCAAAAAAAGCAAAGGTAGTATCAATACTAATAAATGCCTTGGGTGTAATCTCAAAATATCTAAGCACAATAAGTATTTAAAAATTTCCATCAGTCAATTGCAAAAGACAGCTTTAAACAACTTACATCCCGTAATAATACTTTTAACACCATTGAATAACATCTGTCTATCCCAAACTATTTTCTAGATAGACAAAAACTGTAAATTCAGTCTAAACATTTGTCTGATTATGCAACCAGCCACAATAAATCAGAGCATGATAAATAAAAAAGAAAAACAAGCGTACTAAAAATAATTTATATCAACATGAATTTTTCTATAATTGCAAAGTGTTCTAGCTTTTACCATATCATACACTGTTTTACATATTGTCTTTTAATCTTTCTAAGTTTATCTCTCTCTTTTTTGAACATCTAATCAAATCCATCAGTATTCCCCTTCATTTCAATCCATTCACTTATTCACTCATTCACTTATTCATTCATTCATTCATTCATTCATTCATTCATTCATTCATTTTGTAATTCAGTTCTCAGTCATTCTGTCAAACATTTGTTCAATCCCACATGTCCAGTCTTTGCACTGAAGTACAGGATCCCCATGGTCATGCGATCAAAATTTGAGTGTTTGGAAACTGGCATGTATTTACAACAGTTGTAGTGTCCTGTGCAATTTCCCTATCATTGTCTAAAAAAGAGTTAGATGAGGGTTTTGTTGAAGGGGAAAATATCTTGATTTTGGCTTGGTTTTCTTACCTCTTTATAATTTTATGTTATTCATGTTTCTGGCTCAAATCCCAGTCAACAATAACATCTCTTGTGAGGACTATTTTAAGTACTTAAATAGTAATAGTATTAGCCTTCCTACCTTAGCAATAAATTAGCATATGAAACCCCAAAGGTCTATTAAATAACTTACTTATCTATGATCCCCATTCAAAGTACCTTGGACCGCACTCTCTCCTAAAAAATACAACAGCAAAAATCAAAACTAGGAACAACATACTCCACAAATTATGTGGAATTAAATGGGAAGCTTCAGCTACCACCCTCAGGGCATCAGGAGAATACTGTGCAGGAGAATACTGTGCCCCTGTATGGCTTATCAGCTACCATACTAGTAAGTTACTATTTGCCAGACTCAACAACACCATGAGGATTATAAGTGGATGTATTAAAACCACTCCGACTTGCTGGCTTCTTGTTCCTGTTCTGAGCCACATAGCACCTCCAACTTTACAAGAAGCTCTAATGAGAGAATACAGAAAAATTATGAACAATTCATTCCTATCAGTGCATGCCTACCTTCTTCATTTATCAGCTGGAAGACTCAAATCCAGGAAATCCCCAATGGCACTTATACAACATTTGCCTAACAACTTTAACATCGATTCCCAATGGAAAGTCAAATGGGTCGCTGAATGCCCAAACATAGGAAGATATATAAATGACTCACAAAAAAATGCCAGCCCTGAACTACCACATCAGCAATGGACAACTTTCAGTAGGATTTGCATCTCACACGGTGTCTGCCAAGACTCTCTATAAATAAGGCATTTTATCCTCCCCCCAGTGCAACTGTCAGGTCCCATGTCAAACTGTAAACTACATCGTGACCAACTATAATTGAGGCTATATACCAATAAAATATCTGATTTCTTTAAATATAAACAATGCTATGCTTCAACTGTTAGATGGCCTAGTTTAGGGATGTCAAACCCACGTTGTCACAGTGACATCATGTGACATATTGGGACTTTTCCTCCTTTGCTAAACTAGATCTGGATGTGGCCAGCAGGTGATCCATTTGGCCCACGGGCCGGGAGTTTGACAGCCCTGGCTTAGACATTGGCATTTGAAAATGTTTTTAACTTTTATATGTTATTGTGATTTACTAATTTAAATGAAGTGTTAATATATATTGCTAGTCCATGTATGATATGCCATACGCTAAATAAATAAATAAGCCCTCCTACTCATTATGTTCCATCTTTCTGCAGTAAGCACTCTCAGCTTTACTAAATAGCTCCCTGTGTTATACCCGTTACCCTGAACATAAGAGCCTGTCTTATATTTTTTTTGCCACCAAAAAAGACACCAGGACTTATTTTCAGGGGGAATGTCATCCACTGAGTCACCTCACTTGCGTGCATCACCCCGGCCTCTTTTTCGCTGTCAGAGGCCTTCAGGCACTTCTTCGGATAGTTGCAGCCAGGCCTCGCACACCTCAGTCCATTTCTTCTGCAGTCAGCAAGGAATTCCTGAAGGCCTCTGTAGCCGATAACAGAGATCGAAATTGATCCAAAGTTCTGTTATCGGCTGCAGAGGCCTTCAAGAAAAGCTTTTATGAATTTCTTGAAGAAATGGACCGAGATGTATAAGGCCTGGCAGCAACTATCTGAAGGTAAGTAGTAGGGCAGGTCCACCACCACCCATCCCCACCCTAGCTTAATTTTAACCCATGCACCCTGGAGTAGGAGGGGGGGTTCTTAATTAGGGCTTATATTGGAGATAGGGCTTATATTGGGCACATGTATAAAAATCAAGCTACAACTTACTTTCTGAATAGATTGTATTTTGGGGGAAACACAGTATTTGGGAGTGCTGAAATATATTTTGTGAAATAAAATGATTATAATTACATCTTTAATTTACATTCTTTATTATCAGCATACCATACTTCTGCAGTAAACTTAAGATTTTTGCAGTCAAACTGCAGCTGATACTGACACTGTGTTCTTCAATTAAAATTCAACTAAAAAGTTCCTACCCAACTTTTATAAATAAAATTTTAAATTATCAAATGAAGCTCACATATATGCAGCCTCCTGAAGTCCATTCTGTCAGCATGATTAAACTATTTCAAAATACATTTTTAGTATTAGTCACACAATTTGGTAGTTAGTGCACTCAGCAATAATCATTCAAGCCTATTTCTTTGTTTATTACATATAATTCTTAAACATTAATACTGCAACTTATGTTATTCCTAACATATCAAGCTCTTATTTCCATATAATAAAGTGGGCAGAAGGATGCTCTTATGTTTGCTTATCTTGATAAATATTAATTTCTCACGATAACTATATATTATCTACATTTTTCTACCAGCATTTTCATTTCTCTCCATTTTTCTTTAGTAATATTCTACAGATATCCATATTTATCTACTTTAGATCTTTGCCACATATGCATACCTTGCAATTGTCATCTCTATTTTTTCTGTTTAACCCAAGTACCTTAGGTTTCAATATTCGACTCTAACCCTAACCTATTCATTTGTACAAGGAAAAAATAACATCAGTGTTTCAACTAATAGAACCTATGTCCATTATTCATTCCAAAAGTAGATGCCATTCATATGCCGACATGTCTGTAAGTAGTCATTCACATCACTCAACATGTATGACTTCCTTGAATGTTGCCATTTATACTATTTGCTCAATTTGGTTCTCTAATACATTGTTATAGTTCTCATACATATCTCTGAAATAATCTTCATCTTTTTGTTTCCCTTTATATTATCTTTCAAATATATTTCAAATATATTTCATATATTTTTAATTTCAGATGCAATAGAGGCACAATGTGGTGAGGATACATGAAAGGTTAACTGTTGTAGCCAGGATTATTGGAATTGCCACTGCAAAGCGATGTAGTCATGTTCTATGACTGCACTGATTAAACAATGAAAATTTTGGTTTCAATTGCTATCATAAATCAAGAGCTACCTGCAGTAAATTATATTTTGTTTCTGATTTTGCAGCTCCATATACAAACTAGCAGCTCCTCACATGGTTGGAAGCACCACTGTAAATTGCGTTTGTTGGAATGTTTTACAGGTAATGCTCAATGTATGATCACAATTGGGACTGGAACTTCTGTTGCTTAAGTAATGCAGTTGTTAAGTGAGTCATGCCCAATTTTATGCTCCTTTTTGCCACAGTTATTGTTAAATGAATCACCACTAATTTAGTGAATGAATTAAGTGGATCCCTCTTTTCTCCTTTAACTTTGCTTGTTGGAAGCCCTTCTAGGAAGATTGCAAATGTTGATCAAATGACATGTTGTACATACGTGCCAGTTTGACAAGTGCAAAAATTTAATTACATGGCCGCAGGGACACTACAACATTCGTAAATGTGAGGTACTGTTCTTAACTTTAATCATTAAACAAATAGTTGCAAGTCAAGAACTACATGCACTTACACTTGCTGCACAGACATACAATAACTTCCCTTTCTGAGTCCTGAGAGTTAAATGAATTAGCATATAATCATTGGTTGCTCTTCACAGCTAAGTTATAAAAAAAGTTAGTTGCCAGAGCATTCTTGCCAAATTCTATCCTCGAGCTTTTTCATTGGGATTGTGGCTAGATAGAAGTCAGATTGTGAAACCTTTGTTTTTACTTATTTCTTGAGGAATAGCTTGATTGGCTGGAATATTTAATTATTGCATTTTCAAGAAGCTGTGAAAAACT